AGACATTTTGTGGACAAAAATCTTCCATCCACTTCAGAATCTGCTTTAGATTTGGACAACTAAATTAAATCTGCATAGTTCATTTCTTTGCGCACGCTCTCTCCCGAGTCTGCCCTTCCTCTTTTCCGTTCCTTCTTTCTCAGAGTCTGTCCTTAATATCCGCTCTACTTGCAGTCTGGCCTATATAGCAGCCAGCTCCGCCACCTCGAGCTTAGGCTCAAGCGGACTCTTCTGGACTGCCGGCTTCTTCTCAGCCCTGCCCTGCTCAAGACCACCTGGACACTCATCCGCCATCTTGTTTGGATTTTTTTTTTTTTTTTTTCCCATCTTGTTTGGATTAATCATTAATTCGTTCAGTAGTAGATAATTCGGACTCGGGTTTTCAACTTTTCACACAAAACCACATAGTAATGCGAATTTTTTGTGATGTTTATTAAATTATTTATAACTTATAGGGCTAGGATTTTAATTTTTAACCTAAGAAGGCAGGTGCTAAGTGCTAAGTGGCTAGAAAAAAAAAGGATTTCCTAAGGTAGGAAAAATATTAAATTAGGATAATACGCACAGATCAGGTCTCAACCACAGCAAAATATTTCAGCCTATTTTTTTCCTCTTAAACCATCAGTAAAAAAAAAAAAAAAAAAAAAAAAAAAAAAAAAAAAAAGAAAGAAAGAAAGAAAGAAAAACAAAACAAAACAAAACAAAAACAGTACATCCGAAAAAGCAGATTGAGCCTCCTCTCCTACAAAATGGGAGGCCATGAAGGGCCGATTTCATTTTATCGAAGGTCCGTCCATCCATGGCCTCCAAAGTTTTAGGAGAGGCTCAATCTGCTTTTCCGGATGTGCTGGTGGTTTAAATCTAAGACCCAGCCCTAATTAGAGTCTTATGATTTTATCTGATCAGATACAATCACATATCCAATCAAGCTAAGATTAGTATCATTTATACATAAGTTTGAATATAGACATTTTACTCGATACGATATTATTTAAATGTTTGATTCAATAAAAAAGCAAAGAAAGGGTCAATACCCGAGTGGCTAAAGGGAACGGACTATAAATCCGTTGGTAATTGCCTACGCTGGTTCGAATCCAGCTCGGCCCAGACCCAGCTCTATGTAATTAAAAAAAAAAGATAAGTATCAATTGCCTAGCACTTTTAAGTGAGCAAGTGGAAAGATATAATTAAGTTCAGATTTCAACCAACTTCAGGAAGTTGGGGAGATGATCAATTGAATCAATTCCCAGTTTCGGACTCTTGTTAACTTCAAGACTGACCAATCAACCCTACCGTCTTCCCCCCAATAGAATGTACGGTCATTATAGATGTATTCGACACTTCTTTCAGTCTAGATACAGCTAGAATGACCGTACGTTGTATTCGGGGGAAGAAGGTAGATAACCCTCCTGACTGCCAAGCCTTCATCTACTTGTAGTCTTGTAGTGTTTTTTTTTTTTTTTTTTTTTCCAAAGCACTTGTAGTGTTTAAGTGGACCATCCACTCGGTTACAAAAGATTTTGATTTCACAATTACTAAGTCACTGGTTACTCAAAATCATGGCTATTCGGGAAAAAAAAATAAAATAAAAAAAATTCATGGCTATTCTGTTGAGTTTTCCTGTTTTACAATTGCTATATCATTTTCAATACTCAACAGTCAATTGTTTGACTATAGTAGTAGCGGAAAAAAAAAAAAAAGGAAGTCTAGTTTTTAACTTTTTACTCTTATATCATAGTTATATGTGGTATTCATCCTTGTTCTACCCTTGGATTGAGATCTACAGACTCTCGCAAAAACCTTTTCCCCAAACAGTTTAGATAGTCGATTTAGCGTGATGGTCAAAGCTTTTAGCGCTATTTGATGAGCCCGCGTACTATTAGGTAGTTGGTTAGGTAAGGGCTGACCAAGCCGATGATGCTTAGCCGGTCTTTTCGGATGATCAGCCACACTGGGACTGAGACGCGGCCCAGACTCCTACAGGAGGCAGCAGTGGGGAAAATCTTGGACAATGGGGGAAAGCCTGATCCAGCAATAGACTGAACACTTTTACAACCAAGACCAGGGCAACCAGATTTCGTCATTTCTGACTGTGGACTGACTGACCAACTCCGATCAGGGAGAACGCTGCTAACCCTAGCAGCTTACCGGACAGACCCTTTTTTTTTTCCTTCTTTTTTTTTTTTTCTTTTTTTTTCCTTTTTTTTTTTCCCCCTTTTTTTTTTTTTTTTT